TTTGTGTTGATAGTTTTTGCTATTTACTGATTATTAGGGTTTCGCTATTATATCATTTGTCAATATATAACTTAAAGTTTTAAATTAAAATAATTAAAATAATTAAATAAATATAAAAACAAAAAACCAAAAAAACATATACCTTCTGTTTTAACTAAGCTGCTAAATAGACCATTTTCCATTTTTTTGGAGAAACCTTTAATAAATCATACAATTAACTTGTAAAAAGATAAGAAATAAGTTAATATCAAGAAAATATCTTTATAAAAAAATATATAAATATAATATATACAGACCCATAGTAAGGTTAAAAAGGCCCATAGTAAGGTAAAAAGCAGTTCTATTTTTAATGGCTTTTAAAATTGCTATTTTAGATACTTTTAGAATATGTTGTTCAATTATTCGATGTACATAATGATCTGTTAAATAAGTATTATATATAGTCATATATTAAAAACTTTGTTTTTATGGTTAACTATTTACTGAGATTTTATTTATTAGCATTAAATGCTGATTAGGGATTCCAGAATCATACAACCTAAGTTGAAAAAAAAATATACAAAAAAAAATGATCATTTTTACAAAATTAACTTTTTTTAAAAAGTACTTTTATACTCAAATTTATGTCTACACCATAAGTCATTTTATTTTAAGCGATTACTGTAAAATTCAAAATCTCCTTTTATTGAGCTATAAACAATCCAAATGAAATAACTTACAGCAGTTCTTCCTTAATTTAGTTATATTAACATAAAATATAAAATAAAGGAAGCTAAAATTTAAACAATCATAAGTTCACTATGAGAAAAGCCATTAACTTTAACAACCTTACTTGCATTTTAGTTAGACCCCTTGCTCTACCCATGGTTGTAATCTAGATCACCTACTCTAATCATGGTTGTAAATTTAACAAATTTGTTGAGATTTAACAAATTTCCAATGTTATAAATAATTCAATACTGTCATTCTACTGATGATAACTAAAAATAACAGAAATGCTCTAATCTGCATTAGATGGAATAGGTGAAGTGAGATTTAATTGCTTTCTTGATATAAAAAAAAACTTGTAACAGAGCCTAGCAAACTTGACCATAATCTTTTTCTTACATTTTTAGATTTTTTGTGTCAAATTTAAGTTTTAAAACTTATAAGTCTTTATTCTCTAACTGCTCTAAATTAGTTTTATTTGCTAATGATACTATGATACAATCTAAATATATAGTTGCATCAATAAAAATCCAGTCTTCATATAAAACCATAACTTATTAATTAGCTAGCCTGAATACAACAGGTAGCAACAGCTTATTATGAATATTATCTTTAAGTTTACTTTTTTTTTTCTTGTTCTCTGTTTTTTTTACTCCTATTTCAAATTCCATTATGTTCTTTCTTTTTTTAAACCTTATTCAAAAAAAAGTGCATAAACATATTTAAAAATAAGGTGAACTTGATTGCATTGAAGTTTGATAAAAAACAAATCTTCTTTTTGCAAAAATTCTAAATGAAATAATTTACTTTATAGTATAATAACAAGAGTCACTTGATCTGAAACTAAATTTTTTAAAATTTGATAGACATAAAAGTATATTTAAAATCACTAAAATAATAAATTACAAATTTTAAAAAACTAAAAAATCAGAAAATTAAATAGTAAAAGTATTCTCTAAAAATATATTTTATTTCAACTTTTATTTTTAAATTAAAATTTTTATGATTTAAATGTGCTAATTCTAAACTTGTAAGTTCTTTTAACAAATTTATATTTGCTATTTTTTATTATCAATTTAATTTATTTCATTTTTTTTTAAATTACTTTGTAATATGATATGAAGATAAATAAATGCTTGTTATTTTTTAGCTGTGTTGAATGTAATACTTCATTTAATAAAAAGAATAGTTAAAAAAAAGAAAAAGTGACATATACAATATTATATAAAATGATATGAATGTATTCATACTCAATATGATTACATTTACTGAGTATAAACAAAATAACAAATAGGATGAAAATACATTCATATTCGTTTTTTTTACATTCATTATGCCATAATGAATTTGGGGATAAGGCCAAACTTGTTTACCGTGTATTTTTTTTTATAATAAAAGATGTAACTTTTCTTTAAAATCAAATACACGAATAGAGTATGAGTACAGTATAAATACATACTTTTTAATTACAGTATGAATACATACTGTTTAATTACTGTATGAATACATGGGCTTGATGATCAAGCCCATCTGCGCTAAATATCTTTCTCTTTTTTTTCTCTTTTTTTTTTTTGGAAAAGTGATTTACGCTAAACTATCCCAAAAATTTTATTAAATTTAAAAAAATACAAACACAATGATAAAGATTAAAACAAAACAAAAATAAAATAGTACCTAAATCACTTGAAACATATAACGTTTTAAAATCCGGATAACAATTCCATTTAGAACTCGATGGTAGTTATTTTCAACACATTACTTGACATAAAAAGACTTTACTAACCACTGTGCTTAGTTGTAAGATACTCTCGTGACATTAGCAAATGTTTACTGTTTAATTTGCAATGTTGACATTTTCAGTGCGAGCGCTAATTTAAATGTAAACAAGTAACGTCTATTAAGGAGGAAAACCCCTCAAAAACTTATTTTTTAAAGTAAGGCAATAATAAAGTTATTACATGTTCCAAATAAAAGTATACTAAATGTTAAGAAGATCTATCATAAAAAATGGCACTCTGTTGCTATGGTAACGCAGTTACTAAGGGAAAATGTCAAATTAGTCTCTTCACCCTGGCAAAGATTGCAGTCAATTAGAATGATACTTTGAGCTGATTTTTTTCTAACTTATAGTTAAAAGATAGATCTATGCAATAAGCAGACAGTTTTTGAAAATAACTTTTCTGTCAGGTAGTAGGCCTGTTTAATTTTGGCAAAAATTTTAAGCACAAAAATGATAGATGTTTTTTTAATTTCTTTAGTTTAAAAAACATTTTTAAAAAGTTGTCTGCTCATTGCAGACAACTTTTTAAAAATGTTTTAAAAATCTCAAGATACTTCTGCCGGGAGATTAAAAACACGCGTTCTGAGAAAAATGCCAAATAAGTTGAAATTGTGATGAAAAATATTATATAATAACAAAGATACAAAAAATATAATATAAAAAGAGCATACTGATTGTATTTTTTAATCACGAACACCAGCCCCATACAATTTCCCTTCTTTCTGTTCAACTTTGTCAAATTTTTTAAGCTTGCGGCTTCTTAAAATCTTCCTTTTTTTTTTGATGGTGTCTTGATTTTTATACTCTGACATCATAACTCTTTTCTGGTTCAGGTAATTGCATCCAGAAATGGTATGTTGCCTGGTATCATATTAAGTGTTTCAAATATAAGTATACTAGACTTTAATTCTATATTAAGCATCATAGAGTCCAAATTTCAATTGCGTAAGCGAAACATACTTTGACTTAGGTATTCTAGACCATATCATTGCATTAAAACTTTCATTTTGATTCTGTGTTCTTCCATGAAGCAAACGATATAAATAAGCATCTGATGTTAGTTCTACATAAATGGGCTTTAACTTGTGTACTATTTCAATAGGAAGACCTGGTCCGGGTTTATACTCTTTGGTTCCATTAGCTTTATCTCGATTGTATTTACACAACTATCTTTTTCTGTGGGACAATGCGGGTAATGCCAATTATTTTTGCTTGAAGATGCTACATGAAATAAGCTAGCCAAAGCTGAAGATCTCATACCTTCAAGGTTGCCACAATTTTGCCAATGCAAATACCAAAATAATTTTGCAACCGATCAATTGTAGCGTTTGTTAAACCGCCTTTATAATTTAAACCCTTGACTTGCTTTTTTAATTGTCTACAACGAGATCCAATGCGCTTTTGAAAATGTCCAATACAATCTAGTTTAATTACTTCAAAACCCTTGTATGTGTTTTTGACAGAAGTGTAGCTTTTGCTATCACCATCACCCAAGTATTCTGTGTGCCGTAAATTAAATTTTTGCAAAGAGCGATTAAATATCTTTATTGCCCCAACTGTTTCCATTCCACCGGCTGATCCTTCATAGTTTTTATTGCAAATATGTGATTTTTTTGCTGTTAGCTGCTGCTTTGAATTACCAACATCTTGATTTTTGTCACATATTTTACACTTTCTAGATAATGCTTCAACATCTAAAACCTTCCCATTTTTAATTGATAATGCTGCCGTCACCCCATTGTGTGAATTAAATCCTCTTTTTTGCCATGTTCCATCAACAGAAACTCCAATATCTAAGATCTCATTAAGAGATTTGCCTTCTCTGAGTTCTTGTACAGCTTCATTCATAGTTTCAACAGCAACAGTTTGTGCTGCAGTTGCCAAATTTTGAACAATAACATTATAGCTTTTATTGCATAATCCTTTTGGGATATTCATAAGAGTGGCAAACCGATGTAGACCAGCTTGGCCTTGACCAAGTGTTCTCATGGCATACACTAATCTTTTGTTAATATCAAACCCTGCTACATTTTTTGATGTGTCAAAGTCTAACTTGAAACCCCAAACACAATTTAATGATAAATTTGATGCATATCCTTTGCAAGACTTTTTATTTTCGCTTAACAACAACTGTGATGGTCGCAAACATTCTAGACACCCAAGTTTATCAAAAATGGAAGCAAGAATTTCTAAATCAATAAACCTGTAGCCACTGACACATTTTGAGTTTCCACTTGGAACCATTAGTTGCTTTACTATTTTTTTTTTGATGCACTTTTAAATACACTTTCACTTTCAATATTTACAGAATCTACCATATTTTCATTATTACTATTAACATTATTTACACCAATATTTACACATTTTTCTTGCTTTCTTAAACCACAAAATGTACATTTACGTTTTCAAAGACGTTTTGTAGAAAATTTTACTCTATCACTTTTATAGTCAGTTTTAGACTTGTCCATTTTTTTTAATTATATAGAAAGCTTAAGTTGATTGGTAGGTGCAAGTTTCCATACCGCAAAGTCAGGTGGTGTCTTAGAGTCCGCAAAACTCGTAAATCTATTTCGCATAATTATTTTTTACATGAATAATTATTTTTTTGTTGGTATAATTAAATTTATTAATAATTTTGGCCATGCTTTCTTGTTTGTTTTATATAGCCGAAAGGATTATATTAACTTGAAGGATTAAGTAGAAAATAATAACTGTAAAATGCATAATATTTCTTTTTCATATGATAAGATATCGGGAGACGATAAGAGTTTAAGTTTGTTACAAGAATCTAATCTCATTAATGGTAATTTGATAATTTTATGGTATTATATAATTTTTAATATATATTATATAATTTTATGTATTTTGTGGATTTGTTATTTTTCCAAAATTGATAATTTTATTTTATTTTTATTATTTTGAGTTATTAAAGTAATTATTAGTATATGATATTTTTAGAAGGAAAGTGGATATGTGCAGAATCATACGAGGAAATACTCGCTTTAATTCAAAACTATGAAACAGAAACTGTGTCAAAGTTTTCATGTTATTCTGCTGACAAAAACTTTGGTAATATAGGTAAGAAAAAGTTTGTCAGTTGCCAAGATATTGCTCACATTGTTTTTTTTTTTGTGATATTTATAGGTTTCTTTATACATATCTAACTAAAAATTAAAACAAAATAGTTCTTCCTGTAGTATTAAGCAAAACGAGTAATAAATAACTTTATTAAAAAATCTAGTAAATATCCTGTTTATCCTGTTTTTAAATATGTTTTTTTTTTTATATGTTTAAAGAAGCTTCTGTCAAACACCATAAAATAAGATGGGAGGACGACTCTGTACCTTTTAATGGTGTTCCATTCGTGATTGTAGGAAGTAAAGTCTTTGACTGTATGCATGGAAGAGATAGAAAAGTATCTTTTAAAGAAGAATATAAAATGCGTTGCAATGATAGAAAGGTATCTTGAATGTGCAATATTTACTTATATTTAAATAATTATATAAGGTATATCATATACTTATTTATAGTTATATATTATATAAGTATATCATAAATTTGAAAACTTTAATGATTGAATTATAGATAAAATACATGTTTATACACTATATTTAGTAGTGTATATTTGTTTATACAATATACACTAAATGTTTATAACAATAATAATAGGTATCTGATCACAGTTACTTTAAAAGCTATGAAATGATCCAGGACACAAAGAAATTTAATTGTAGTTCACAAATAAAGATCAAAGAAGTTTTAAAATTTCCAGATTTTAAGGTTTTATTTCTTTTAAATTATATTAGTTTTATTTAATTTAGAAAATAATAAATTAACATTAATAAATATTTGAATAATAAATGTTAGTAAAAGGGTTCCTAATTCCCTTGCCTATAATATTATATTGCTTAATGATTCAAAAGAATCTTTTTTTTTTTTCTTTTTAAAAAATATTAAATAGCTTTTTGAAAAAATACTAGTTTACATTAGTGAATTTTTTTAAAGTGCAATATCTCTTTAGATTATAGAAGATAGTAAATGGAAAAGAGTAACCTCCTCCAAAAAAATTCGAGAAGCAATTTCAAAAAATGAAGCAGTGGGACAAAAAATATTTTTAATTTTTCTTCCATCAATGAGTTCTCACACTGGACACTTTACTGGAAATGTAAATAATTTTTATAACATCTGATTTTACCAATAACTAATTTTAATCACAAGTTGTATAAAATTATATTGATATATTTACAATTGATTTTTATTTCCTTTATTTCAGTGTTAAAGTCAAGTGTTGATGTTTTAATTTCTTTATTACTTACTTACTTTATATCTTAATCATTTTTCTGTTAAAATTTCTTTTTTTTTTAATTATAGGCACTCAACAAGTGACTATTCCCTTTATTTAATTTTTTTTTTCTATTGAAACTAACCACCCTTTAAACTATCTTCAGATTTTTACATTTTTTGTTTAAATTTTCTGATGATTCTTTTTTTTTTTTTTTTCAAGGCTGCTGGTATATCCCAGCCAATTGATGCAAGATTAAAAGAAGAAATATTTACATCGTCTGAATTTATAACTAGTGTTGATGAAATGCGTAGGAGATTAGAAATCATTGTGACAAGAGAAATTTTTAAAAATAGTATATGTCCATCTAAATCAAATAAAAGGTTCTTCCCATCCAAAAAAACTATTCGTTCTTACATGTTGGAAGCAATAAGAAAGAAAAGGTATTCAAATATTGACCAAGAATGTCTTATAAAAAAAGTAGAACAATGGAAAGTTGAAAATCCTCACAGAAAATTTTACCTTCGACCTAAAGGGATAAGTGAAAATTGTATGTATTTAGTATTTTACTGTAATCTCTCTTTACTTAACTTCAATTTTCACCAAGATATACAAATTAAATGTGTATATATATTTTTCCCTTGTGTTCCTTGTGCATGTTTAAATAATAAAACACTATATTTATTTTAAACACTATATTTAAAAAAGAAGCTTTTATAGATTTTTTTTGTTGTGCAGATTAGGGTGAATACTTAAAAAAAATTCAAATGCGCTATATAAATAACTGTTCTTTTATTTTGATAACATTTTATTTTCTACAAAAAAAATGTATTTAAAATAAGGCTCCCAGATACTAACTGTTTCTTTTTTTTTTTTTTTTTTTTTTTTAAATACAATATTTTATTTTCATGAATAATGTGTGAATATACACATTATTCATGAAAATAAAAGATTGTATTTCATGAATAGTAGTTACATGTTTATAATTGTTTAATACATGTTTAAAATTGTATAAGACTACTGTAGAACCTTGTTTATGCTTTTCATTAAATTAAAGTCTCAATTATAAATTATTGCATTACATTTCAAAATTTGAAATAATTGTTAATTTCAAAAAATCAGACTTCTAAATCTAGCACTAATTTTTTAACAAAACTTAAAAAAAAAAAAAAAGAATTTTTCATATTTTTTTTATATTTATTTTCATAGGGTTTATTATTTTTTAAGTTTGGTTTCTAATAAGACCCAAGTTAACATAAATTTAAAAAATATTTTTTTTATATATAACATTTAACAAATCTAATTTTTAAGACTCTTGTTCAAGTAATGAAGCAACCCTTAAAAAAAAATTAATTCAAATTTTTTTTTAATTTAGTATTAATTTATTACATAGAATACATTTTGGGGTACCAGCAGACAATTTCAATAAATGATGTTTTATGAGCCAACCTAAGATATATATATATATATATATATATATATATATATATATATATATATATATATATATATATATATATATATATATATATATATATATATATGTATAAATATTTATCCCTCATAATTAGGGTCGGCATTCGGCAATGCCTACCTAACTGCTGACCTGAAAGTGTTTTAGGTTGGCAAAAAATAGCCGACCTCGTTTCAAATGGTCAGATCTTTGTATTAAATAATTTTTACCGACCTGATAAAAATTATTTGATACAAAGACCTGACCTCTAAAAGATTGAGAAAAATTGAGTGATTAGGCTAACAGTTTTTTTCTATGATGCAAAAATGCTTAAAAAGTGTTCATAGTCATCCTGATTGACAATAACTTACAAGGTTGCAACATGTTGCAAACTTATTGATTACATGTTGTAAGCTTGTGCAAAGTAGTTTGCAACATTTATATTGTCTTACTAACTTTAAATAACTCAATTGTCATAATAATTTTTATAGTACTTTTTTTTAGTCAAAAATATTGTGAACATGTTTTTAATTTAATGCAATTAATTAACATCATTTATAGTTGATGGAGTCCCCTTTTGCACTACGGGTAAAATGTGCTAGTAGACTTGTAGTAAAACATTTGCATTGCAATCAGAAGCTAGGGGTTCAAATTACCTCAATCTATTTCTCCGCACAACGCCTTTTATAAAAATTTTAGTTGTTAATGCTGTTTGTTAGTAAAAATGGTAATGATTGAGACAAAATATTTTTTAAAAAATGAGTTGCTCCCTTGACTGAAGTGGTCATTGGAGCAAATCGGGAGGTGAATTTATGAAATTAAAAAAAAATTATTGTACTCAAACAATTATAAAAATTTGGTATTTTGATCGGTTTTTAAAAAAACCCATTTGGGTAAGGTTTTCTTTTAAAAACCATGTGTTTTTTCCAACCCTGTCATATAGCCTGACTCGCAAGGGAGTGTTGCTACATTGACTGAAGATTTGGTTAGGGTCAGCATCAAGTGTATAGGGTTAGGGTTAGAACAAGGTTTAAATATGGTTTGGTTACTGTAATTAATTGATTTTGTAAATAGATTGAAATAATCTGAAATATAATACATAATAAATAGATAAAAATTTCAAAAATAAATATAACAAATATATTTCATAATAAATTTAAATATATAACAATTAAAATAAAATAAAAATTTCAAAGTATATATAAATATGATAAAAATCATAAAAAAAAGTAAAAAACAATAAACATAACGAGAACAAAAAAAACATATCCCCATAAACGCCGACTAGGAGTATATATATTACATATATATATATATAATTATAAATATATATATATATATATATATATATATATATATATTCATGCATGCACATACATTTAAATAAACATATTTATATATATAGATGCAGTCAAAGTTGAATGCTCAGCTGTCGAAAGCACCGAAGATGAGGATGAGATTGTTGTAGAAGCATTAAGCAATAGTTTTTTATTTGTTTATCAAACTGAAGAAATGCAGAGGTTGTTAAAAATATATGGCAATGAAATTACCCTTTTGGATGCCACCTACAAAACAACAAAATATTCTTTACCACTCTTTTTTCTTGTTGTAAAAACAAATGTCGATTATCAGATAGTAGGTACCTTTATTTGTGAAGGAGAGTCAACGAAAAATATTCAAAGTGGTCTTGCTAAAATAAAAGAATGGAATCCTAATTGGAATCCTTTATATTTTATGGTTGATTGTTGTGCTGAAGAAATTAATGCTATTGAGTCTTTACATCAAGGTATTTCAAGATTTTAATAAGCTGCATATTTTATTCCCCTTCTCGGTGTAGTTAAGGCAATTTACAAGTTATTCTAATTCGTTTATTTGGTATAAGCATGGTTTTTTCAGCGTATTATGTCCAAAAAAGAGCTTCAAATGTTATAATTTTTTTTTGCTTTAGGTTTTTTCAATATCTAAGGAAACTTTTTCTTTTTTATAATATATATATTTAAATATATAATTTTCTAAACCTTTTTACTACCCATAATAGTGAATCTAAAGAACACCATTTTTGCGTCTTTTGATCAACTCTGCTCATCAGGGTTAACATGAATTTAGTTGAAATCTTTTGAAAAAGTTCTTTAATTTACTATTGATCTTAGTTCTAATTGGTTCTGACTAGTGGTTTTGTCGGTTATCCGTTTCAAAAACCGGATAACAGTTCTCATCAATTTGCGGCTACCGACTATTCGGTAAATTAGTGACGCTTTCTGAATACAGGATCTTCTAAATTTCAACGAACGTAGCGTTTTAAACTAATTTTTTAAAAATTAATGTAAAAGTGTACATTTTTAAGACAGTGAGTACAATATATATTTTTATATACAATTATATATTTATAACAAAACATGGAAAAAGATATATGTATATTTTTTATATTATAATATAATATACCTTTTTAATTATATAATTAAAAAAGGTAGGAATAATGTACAAGTAAAGTTTAAATGTTCTAATATGAGCGGATGTTTTAAAATCATTCTCTCATATAAAAACATTTGATTTGGAAAAATGAGATGTTATGAAGTAAATTTTTTTTAAGCTTGTATTTTAAAAACTTTTTGTTATGCGGACATAGATGGAAACTTGAAGATAAACTTGAATGTTCTCAGAACAACTTGTTGCGTAAAGATAATATAAAGAATATTTGCTAACACTAAAATACCGCCAAATCTACGAATAAACAAATTCTATTGGTTCAAAAAATACGCTGAATAAGCAAATTAGAGTTCCATAATATTCTGAAGAAACTTTCTTAAAAATGTATTGCTTGAGTTGTAAAAGTAATAAATAAATCTTTGAGATTTCTATTGTAATTTGTTTTAAGAATATATTATCAAACAAAACTGATTAAATTAACATTTAAATTAATAAAAGAAATATAATCTTTGATAAATTAACATTTGTCAAACAATAATCATCATAATTACAATGTTACTTTCTATAAATTTCGTAAAAGTCGGTTTTTATTATTCGAAAATAGATATTTGATATTTGAGCAAAATCCGATTAACCGCAAAGCCGGATAACCGACGAAATCACTAGTTCTGACGTATATTAACTATATATAATTGTCAAAACACAATATTTCTATCAATTTTCACAAAAAATACTAGAATTCTGACCATAAAAGAGCTTATAATTTATAAAAATTGGCAATAACCAATCAGAACAGATTATATTGTTAAACTGTAATGTTCATTTCACCTAAAAAACGTATTTAAAACCTTTTTAAAATTTCGACAAACGATTGTGAATTTAAGAAAATTAAAAAAAAAAAAAAAATCTTCGGTCTAGGGTTTTTTGCTATAAACATTTATATTTTATGATACCGCAAAGTTTATTTTAGTTTTTTTCATCTTTTCATAATTTACTGACCTGATCATTTAACAAAAATATGTTGTAGTCAATGAAATATCTTACAGAGGCTATAATATTTTAAAATTGCTTTAAATACACCAAGTTGCTGAATAATTTTATATTTGAGTGGTTTTATGTTTAAGTAAATCAAGTTTCAACTCGTATATCAAATTTTTTAGAGTGCCAAGTTCTCATATGTGACTTTCATCGGGAACAAGCGTGGGAACGTTGGTTTAATAAAGTAAATAATGGTGCCAGTGACATTAAAATAGAAATGCTAGCCAAGTTAAGGAAAGTTGCCAGAGCTCAATCAAATGTTGATTTAGCAAAAGCTCTGGAAAACTTAAAAAAATGTGAACATTATTTAAATCCAAACCACAAAAATATGTTTAATTGGCTTGAAAAGCAATGGTTACCACATATTGAGGTTTTATTTTACTTTAAAATTTCTTTTCAAGTTCTACACTAAATTCATATATAATTTTGTACCATTTTATTTATAGAGGTGGGCATACTTATATCGTAAAGACAGATTAATGGTCAGTATCAATACTAACAATGGAGTTGAACGTCAAAATGAAACCTTCAAACATTCATATCTGAAAAAGCATAGTAACTCTTGTTTATCAACCATGCTTACTATTCTTATTGAAAACTACTTTCCAGATTTATATAATAGGTAGTTAGTATTTTATTTTATTTTTATATATAGAAGAGAATATTTAGTAATAGTATAGGCTATTAATAAAAAAGTAATCGTATGATCTTTATGCATTATGCATTATTTTGATAAAACTATATTAAATATAGTTTTATCAAAATAATGCAAAGGTTCTTTATTTAAATATACAAAAGTGTTCTATATTAACTGTTTTGTTCACTATTTATTTATAAAGTTAAAAAAGTTCAAATAATACAACTTATCTTAAATATACTTTAATATACATTTTGATAGTCTACTCTAGTGATTTTCCAACATAAAAATTTTTTTTTTTAATTTTATTAAAATTTTAAGTTTTGATTTAGGTAAACTACCATTAACAAAATTTAAAAGTGAACAAACATTGAAATTTTTCACTTAATTTGCTAAGTAACAAATACTAGTGCTACACTATTTTTTGACACAGCATATTAAAACACATTTTCATTTAGGTATTGTGAAATTAATACAAGACAAAGTGGAAATTTCCGCCGATATAGTTCATACTTACCCACATTTTTGCATCATAGACCAAGACACTTTGTTAAACATTGCTTGCAAAAGATGTCTCTAGCTTCGCATATTGATCTGTCTGGAGTTTTTGTAAAAGAGACAGGAAAATTTGCATGTTCATCCTTTGCAAACTCTGCTGAGTTCCATCATATTAGCTTTGGCGATTCAGTCACTATGCCGAATTGCACTTGCCAAGATTGGAAAAGAACTGGGTATCTTTGCAAGCATTTCTTTGCAGTTTTTAATAAATTTCCCTCATGGTCTTGGTACAATTTATCCCAATTATACATTTACTCACCATTTTTGAACTTGGATAAAGAAATTTCTTTTGAAAGAAAACCTTTATTACCACAAAATGAACTGTTACTTACAAACAACAAATTAGAAGACAGAGAAGCAGATTGTGGCATAAAAACATTTGATTTACTTCCCAAACAAAATAAGTGGCTAAACACTAAGGCATCCTTGTTTCGAGAACTAGCAAAACAGTTAATTAATGAATCATACCTTGTTGAAAATGAAGAGAAATTAGATTATGGAATAGATATTCTAAAAAAAGTTAAAAAATCATTTGATGAATGCATTCCAAATGAACAAGGTATTCATTTACAGCCTGTTAAAAATAATAAACGTCAGTTGCAAGTATTAAGCATTCCCTTAAGAAAAAAAGTTGCATTATATTCAGGGCGGCATGGAATTGGTGCAGAAAAGTTGAGAGCCTCAAGCAGTTTAAAAATTGAAGTAAATAAAAATCATGGAGTCCTAGTTAAATCTGAAGAAATAGATGCAAGTGAAAATATAATTCTTCAACCAGATAATACAGAAGAAAGTATTGAATGGATTATGTTAGACAACAACCTGCCTGTGATACCACAAACTGAAATTGATACTATTGAAAACAATGATATGCTGACAGATATAAGTATCAATGCTGCCCAAAAAATTCTTTTGAATCAGTTTCATATGCAATCTGGGTTTCAAGATACAATTTTAGGTGAAAAATATATGTTTCGTGAGGAAAAGAATGATTTTGTTCAAGTATTATATACTGGTCAATATCATTGGATTACCATTTCTAATGTGAATTGTCCAGCAGACACAATTTTCTACTATGACAGTCTTTTCCATGGCCAAGTAAAGGATCATGTTAAGCAGCAAATATGCAATATATACAAAACAAAAGGGAAAAAATTAACTATCCATGTACGCAAATGTCAACAACAAACTAATGGTGTGGATTGTGGAATTTTTGCAATTGCTAATGCATTAAACATACTTCACAAATTTGATATTGGAGCTTTATCTCTAGACAAAGACAAAGTTAGAAAACATTTTATTGAATGCATTAAAAAAAGACATTTTTCTGCCTTTCCAGTTTGCCAATCAAAATCACGTTTCAATGAAGAAAAAATAATCACTTTAGAAATTTCTTGCTCATGCCGTTCAAATTGGGTATGGTATCATGCAAAAAATACTAATCTTCATATGGTACAATGTGATATGTGCAGCGAATGGTACCATAAAAAATGTGAAAATATATCTGATGAGATATTCAATAAAATTAATGCTGATAAGTCATGGATTTGTTTAGCTTGTAAAAAAAAAGAATTATTTTCACCAACATAAATGATAAATTAGTTATAAATCAAACATTAGTCAAAATGCTAAGCAGTTTTCATTTTATATTATCTCAAAAAAAAAATTTTAATGGAGAAACAGCCCTTATCAAAAATGCGAGATTTGATAAATCTGTACTAATTTAGTAAGTTATAAACTATTTATAAAGTATATTTTTTTCATTTCTAGAAAATATAGTTTTAAAAACAGCTATAGAAATTAGGTTTTAAATATAAGAAAATTTAATCTTTATAGACTTTCATTATTTAAAATATGCTTTTCCTATTTTAAATATATATGGTTAAAGGCAACTAGCAACTACTTTATATTTTTGTATAATATGTGTTTGCACATATTATACATTGGTTTTTAAAATTGTTATTTATGAGAATATTTGTGGCAACCCCCTTAAAGGTATCCCAAACTCCCAACACATGTTGTGTTCATATTAAAGATGTTAAAAAAAAAGGTTGAACCAAATTTTTTTGATTAAAAATAAATAATGAAAGCATACCGTGAAAAACAAATGTTTTTTTTTTGAAGAAGCTCGTCTTCTCCATTTTTTTCAACTACTCGGAGTCTTCAAATTATGCGTCGCAATCTACAGACTTTGGCAATTCCTTTGAAGCGTGTTTAATTCATAAAAGTTTTAGTATTTGACGTCACGGTAGATTTTTAACAAAAGAAACTCTGGAAATATTTTTATTTATTTTTAGTCGAAGTTTTTTTTGGTTATTTGTTTAGTTTTTTTTTTTTTTCTACTTTTAATATTTAAAAAGATATTAAAAACCTTAAATATTTTATGCTGGTTCGTTGCTATAAATTGTTATTGTGCCATATATTTAATGTTTATAAATTATGAATATTTATCTCAAAATTTTTATCTCAAAAATTGTTTTACATTAATTACCTGTATAAAATTAAAAATATTTATTTAAGTAAAAAATATTTATCTCAAAAATTGTTTTACATTAGTTACCCGTATAAAATTAGTAACAGCTTTTTTATTTGGTTAGACGATATTTCGTTTCAATTTGCTTTGCATAAGATTCGGAAAGTCAAACGAAAAAAATAAGTTAAATAATCACATCGAAATATATTTAAAACAAATTATTTTAATGACGGGGGTTCTAAAGTTTTTTATAACAAATGTAGGTAAAAAAACTAAATTTACTTATTATTTAGAACGACTAAGCAATAAAAATAAAATGCCCCTAAAATTATGCGAGATTATGTTGTTTATTTGATAACTGTTGTTGGTAATGTTGTTTATGTTGATTATTTTCATAAATATCAAAATAGTTCCAGATTAATCTGTTCGTTGCTTTGCTCATTGTTGATTTATTTCTAATTTAATTTTATCTCAAACTATAATTATATGTTAAAAAAGAAAAGTTTTTATTTCATTGGGCGCTCTTTTTATAAAAGAGTAGAACAAAAGAGAATGAAAAGTTTCGCGTAATTAAACTTTGAATGAATAAGAGTTGTATAGAATATTTTTTTTTTTCCGTCACTCGTTCTTTTTTTAGATAAGAGAAATAAAAATTTAATAGTAAATTTTCTTTGAATAAATGAGAATTGGAAGAGAAAATTGCTTGAAAATTTGTATTTTTTAATTGTGTTTTTAAAATTTTTTAATTTTTCATGTTAAGAGACAAATGCCAATTACGACACAAATTTGGAAATACCAATTATAATGTTTTTTTATGCGCGTTATGACATTTTAACAATTTAAATTACCATCTATCTTGAATTATTGCCTTTAATTAATGTGTTAATTATTGCATTATTTATTAATAATTTGTCCGTATTTTTGTTAAATATTAGTTGTATAAAACGGGCGAAAATATACAAACTTCATGTTTTTTATTTAATGGTTATAAAATATTAAACAGTAAAATTATAATCAAAATTTATAATGCCGACTTGTGTTGCAATTAATTGTACTTTTAATGCAAAATCGGGATCTCACATATCCTTTCACGAATTTTCATATCTGATACTACTGTCAACTGTATTGTTTAGTGTATTCTTGTACTTTTTTTTCATAATCTTAACAGGTTCTAATTGGTATGGAGTTGCTGACATTTTAAAAATTTCATTATCAAAAATCAAATGTAAAATAAAATGGTATTTCCTTTTTATCCGTATCCAATTCAGCAAATTTAACAATTTAAATTAAAATAGTGTGATCAAAATAATTTTATAATAAAAAAAGTTAACAATTCATTAAATATCTCTAATTAATACTGTCAGTTTATGAAAGTAATTGTTAATTAATACTTTTTTTCAACGAAAAAATAAAAACTTGTCATAGTGTAAAAATAACCGGAGAAGTTAGAAAGTAGTTCTCATTGTTTAAATAAAAATAATTAAGAATCAGAATATATAATACCGCGCTCTCTTGCGCTAAAACAAGAGACCATATATAAAACGTTCTATATAATGTAAAATACTCGTATGAAAAGCATGAGATTGGTAAGTAAAGCTTTAATATTTGTTTTAATTTAAATAATTAAAGAAATATAAGTAAGATATATAAATCTAATAATTATTAAGATATCTGTAAAAATTAAGTTGCTCCTATAAAATAAAAATAATTTATTGTTTTTACTTTTTACGATGTTTGGAAAAATAATACAAATAAATTTGTTTTGCTGTATGTTAAAAAAATACTACAGTAGAAAAACGCAGCTTAGTATGATTACACTTTTCTTTTGTTAAGTCTAACGTGACGTCAAATACTAAAACTTTTATGAATTAAACACGCTTCAAAGGAATTGCCAAAGTCTGTAGATTGCGATGCATAATTTGAAGACTCCGAGTAGTTGAAAAAAATGGAGAAGACAAGCTTCTTCAAAAAAAACAACATTTGTTTTTCACGGTATGCATTCATTATTTATTTTTAATCCAAAAAATTTGGTTCAAACCTTTTTTTTTAACATTATCTTTAATATGAACACAACATGTGTTGGGAGTTTGGGATCCCTTTAATGTGTTGTGAATAACAGAATGAGACGGGAATTTAAATATAAGCATAGAAAGAAGCTGCAAGTTGTCTTAACAATATAGTTTAACTGAGTTAGTAGATTTATTAATTGACTTGAAATAAACAAAGAATAATTTTTGAATGCTTTTTATAAATTCATTTTTAGGTCAGCTTTATCTGGTGAATGCATAACAGCTTACAATTATAAATTATTAGAGGAACTATAAAAATAAATGTAAGGAAAAACCAAGTATATAAAATAATGTCAAGCTCATTGGTAAGTTACTATATGTATGTTTGTGTTCTGTTTAAACTTCTGGCGCTGTTGGATCACCCAAAAATTACTGTATGTTTTTTTGTGTTCGTTTTAAACCACTTGCACAATGTTGACTCACTCGTAAGTTACTCTTTGTTTGTTTGTGTTCTGTTTAAACCTCTAACGCAATGTTGACTCACCCTTAAGTTACTGTATTTTGTTTGTGTTCTGTTTAAACCTTTGGCACAATATTGACTCACTAATAAGTTACTATATGTTTGTTTATATTCTATATGTTTGTTATATATTACTATATGTTTATTTATATATTTAAACCTCAAGTGCAATATAGACTCACCCATAAGTTACTGCATGTATTTTTGTGTTCTGTTTAAACCTCTAGCGCAATGTTGACTCACCTGTAAGTTATTCTATGTATGTTTGTGTTTAGTTTAAACCTCAGGTGCAATATTGACTCACTTATATGGCAGATTATAAGCATACTAATTGTATGTTTATAATCTGTTTAAACCTCAAGCACAATACTCACATTTAAATTACGGTATGTACATTCACTCACATTTAAATTACGGTATGTACATTCACATTTAAAATACGGTATGTACATTCACTCACATTTAAATTACGGTATGTATGTTCGTGTTCTGTTTAAACCTCTGGCACAATATTGACTAACACGTAAATTACTATATTTATGTTTGTGTTTAGTTTAAACCTCAAGCGCAATTTCGACTCACATGTAAGTTACTGTATGTATGTATGTTTGTGTTCTGTTTAAACCTCTGGCGCGGTGTTGACTTATCTGTAAGTTACTATGTGTTTGTTTGTGTTCTGTTTAAACCTCTGGCGCGGTGTTGACTCACCCGTAAGTTGCTATATGTTTGTTTGTGTTCTGTTTAAATCTCTGGCGCGGTGTTGACTCACCCGTAAGTTGCTATATGTTTGTTTGTGTTCTGTTTAAACCTCTGGCGCGGTGTTGACTCACCCGTAAGTTGCTATATGTTTGTTTGTGTTCTGTTTAAACCTCTGGCGCGGTGTTGACTCACCCGTAAGTTGCTATATGTTTGTTTGTGTTCTGTTTAAACCTCTGGCGCGGTGTTGACTCACCCGTAAGTTGCTATATGTTTGTTTGTGTTCTGTTTAAACCTCTGGCGCGGTGTTGACTCACCCGTAAGTTGCTATATGTTTGTTTGTGTTCTGTTTAAACCTCTGGCGCGGTGTTGACTCACCCGTAAGTTGCTATATGTTTGTTTGTGTTCTGTTTAAACCTCTGGCGCGGTGTTGACTCACCCGTAAGTTGCTATATGTTTGTCTGTGTTCTGTTTAAACCACTAGCGCAACGTTAACTCATCCATAAGTTACTGTATGTATGTTTGTGTTCTGTGGAAACCTCTGACGTGATAATGGCTCAGACATAAGTTACTATATGTTTGTTTGTTTGTTGGTTTAAACCTCCTGCACAATGCTGACTTACACATATGTTATTTGTATAATTGTTTGTGTTCTGTTAAAACCTCTGGCGCAACATTCACTCACTAGTAAGTTACTGTATGTTTGTTATGTTCAATTTAAAACTCAAGCGCAGTATTGTCTCACCAGTAAGTTACTGTATGTATGTTTGTTCTGTTTAAGCATGGTGTTGACTTACCTGTAAGTTACTGTATAATGTTTTGTGTTCTGTTTACCTCTGGCGCAATATTAACTCACTCATAAGTTACTATATGAATGTTTGTGTTGTGTTTAAACCTATGCCGTGGTGTTGTTTTTTTTTATTTTTTTTTATTTTATTTCACCTCCTGAGAAGGCTGAGAAGGCCACTACAGACAAGGAGGCTACTTATTTTGTGGCTATAATCCTCTCTCAACTCTATAACTCCAAAACACAAACCTTGACGAACAAGGCCTCTGCGTGGAGAAACGAGTTGAGCGCGGTACTACCAGGGATGTGGTGGGGATCAAACTCGGAACCACTCGTTTATGAAGCGAGCGCTCTACCACTACACCATTATCGCATGATTTAGCTTTTAGTTACTGTATGTTTGTTTGTGTTCTGTTTAAACCTCTGGTGGTCTGTTACTTTAGCGGCTCTCCAGTTAGTCCACTAAAATACATCCACTGAAAATACACTTTTTAGATAAAGTGCTCTATATGGAGCTATCTTTTTCTGATGGAGTAATACTTATAGAAGTAACTTGCACATTTTCATTTTCGTATATTACTCTAACCTGTTTTAAAGATGTTGCAAATTTACAATTTTGCGCCCATTATTACACACCCGTGTGGCTTAGTTGTCTATAATGTTATTCCTTTTCAACTGAATACTTTTTAGATTTTTATTGTGTCTTATGTTTGTGTTATAACTGTAAACAGTGAAAGAACAATTACAGTAAAAGAATTTTACTGTAATTGCGACTTTGCAAAATGATGATTTTGCAATGATAAATACAATCATGCTTGCTGCTTATCAAAATGATAAGCAGCAAGCATGAATGTATTTGTCGAAAAGAGTAATAGACTTATTGTCTATGGGGCTATTAAGGCTAAACATTAGGAGCTTGATTTGGTCCAACTACATTCGTAATGCGTTTTTATAAATTTGTCTGAATGATAAAGGGTATCATTAGAAGAATCAGTCTAATAATGACAACAATTTTCCATACAATAAGAAATAGGTTGTGCATACATTTTTTAAATATAAGCAAAGAATTAGATTTATAGTTTCCATTAGTGGTGAATAGTAAAAGGTAATCAAAAAGAACATAAACGAGAAAACTCTGTAAGAGTGTGTCCATTTATCAAAATAGGCATATCAACATAGCAGCAAACATCTGAGTTAAAAAGCTTGGGTTAAAATTTTCTAATCAAAATGAGCCCTAAACTGTCATAGAAGAGAAATCACATTCGATATAGACTGTTTGTAAACCTTGCATTAGAATTTTTCAAGAAGTTTGACATCTTAAGTTAATTATCATATCCAATATTTTCTTTTTCAACTTTTAATATATTTAAAAGTTTATGCTTTTTTTTTTAGAATTTTTTTAAAGTCCATTTTTATTTTACTCCCTGTTCTTTTATTTTCATTTTATTAATAGAAATGAGAATGTGCAAGAATAAGCAGTTTGCTAATTGATTGTGTATTTTTCTGTCATATGCTTTCAATCGTTCTGCATTAAAAAAATCGTACATGTGAATAGGAAGGAACCTTGACGTGGTTCATGTGCTTTAAAACAAATACCTTCCAGACAGAAACTTTTTGATACCTTGTGTGTGAGTAGTATTTTTATATTGGTAGTTTATAATCTTCTGATTGAAATTCTTGCTTTCAAGGTGTGTTTTTTCTTGTTTATTTAGAATACGTTGTTTACATAGAATGCGTTGAGGATTTTGAGAGATGAAGGTATAATTTTTATCAATTCTAAATACAAGCAGATGATTTAGAGTATTATTTAATAAAACGTAATGTACGGAATTTGACTGAAGTTAGTTTGAATATAGACAACTTGTACAATTTTTTTTTTATTACTTAACTTTTTAATTTTCTACTTGGTCGTTCAACTTTAAGTTTTATATCTAAAACAAATGGCTGTGTGAGATCATATCGTAATCTAATCATAAATTTATTTTAGGGAATAAGCAGTATGAAAAATAAATGCTTAAGAAGATGTATAACAACGATAATGAACTTCAAATATTTTTTTTAATGTTATTGTTAATTGCAGTTAATTTATATTAACATATTATTTATGTAACAGTGTGTAAGATATATATGAAATTGTGTATTTAATTTTAAATTTTTTTTATATTAGTTTCATTAATTCATGCTTTTTTTAAGTTTTTTTTAATTTTATTATTATGAAATTAACCTCTTTTAATTAAACTGCGACAGCTTAAATTAGGGATGGCAATCCCGGGATTTCGTAAAAAATGTTTATCCCGAAATCCCGGGATTAGTCTCCGAAATTTCCCGGAATTTCGGGATCGTCAAAAAAAAGGAAAGGTTAATAAAGTTTATGCTTATAATTGTAGTTTAGTAATTTTTATATCGTCTTTGGTATAGTAGCTGCTTGGTTGTGTAATCATTTATTATCTTTGCAATGTTTTCCTTTTAAAACTCTTATTTTCTGCATTTTACTAAAAAAAAAAAAATCAAAACATTGCTTGTCTGCAAAACGTATATATGTTTGTTTATATATATATATATATATATATATATATATATATATATATATATATATATATATATATATATATATATATATATATATATATACATAAATAAATATATATACATATAAAATTAAAATTAAAAATATATAATAAAATTAAAGTATAACTTTTATTAAAAACTCTTGCTCTTTCCACAAGCAAGCGCTTATATTTTTGTTATGTTTTATAATATACTAGTTTTAATATTATGCTATATATAATATATAGTATTATATTAAAACTAGTATATTATAAAAATAGATAAAGTTTAGGCGCTTGCTGGTAAAAAGTGCAAGAATTGTTAATAGAAGGTATACATTAATTTAATTTTGAATTTTCTGCTTCCAAAAGTATGCGCAATTTTAATTCCAGTTTTATATCCATTCATTTTAATTTTCAAATGAGTGAATTATGAAAGTTTTTTTTAACGTCATACATATTTATAGTTTTTAATTTTTATTTTTATTTATACTGTGTTACCATTTTAAAGTATTGTTTTATATAATACTTATAAATTATCATTAAATTAATAATTTTTAAGTGTTTGATAAGTGCTTAAAAAGTATTCGATTGCATTTGCGTTTTTACCTATTCAATCCCGGGATTTCCCATGGACAAATTTCTCAATCCCGAAATTCCGGGATTGAAAATTTCCGGGATTTTTGCCATCCCTAGCTGAAATACAGAAATATTGTCTTCATTTGTCTGTCAGATATTGTCTTCATTTGCATATTGTCTTCATTTGTCTGTCAGACAGAAATATTGTCTTTATTTATAAATGTATTTTTTAGTAATATTAATGTAATAGGAACTTAAAAAGTGGAACTTTTAATTTATAATGAACATGTATTTACTTTTTAACAGTTGGTTTATATAAAATAGGGAGAGATTTAGCAACGAGACGCGGACAATATTTGACAACGGCGTTTGTTACGAACACGTCGTTTGACTAAAGCCATTTAGCCTTTGTTTCGCAACACGTGCCTAAAAACCGTTATCAACAATGACGGCTATATTCTGCTTGAAATCTGTAGGAAGTTTAGTTTTTTTAGGCTACGCTGAAGATTCAATAGATATTTATAAATGAGTTAAACGATTCCCATGAACCATATCCATATTGGAAATATGATAGGTTTGATATAAATACTAGGTACAATGATGTACAATGTAAAATTATTGTTTTGGCATCTCAGAAAAAATTGTAAATGCACAAAGAACTACATGCAGTGGTATAGAAAAAGCTTGCACTTCGTAAAATGACTTGCTTTTCAATGTAAATAACGGGAGAGGAGAAATTAGTTAAACAAAAATCAAAGCTTTGTATTTAAAAAAAAACTAAAGCAAAAATTTTTTAATTTTTTTTTTAAATTAATACAATATTTATTTTAACAAAATTATCTTTTATAAACCGATCCCTTGTTGGCTATTATTCTCAATTTTGTCTTGATACCCTTCATAAGTGATTGTAAAAATGTTGTACGAATTTTCAATTCAAACACGCATTGATACATCTAATCAATTGTTGTAAACATATGGCCTCCCATCCACCCTCATTTACATTCTGAGTCAATACTCAGAAGTCTCAGTTGACCAGCCTTTGGGGACATTAGGAGGATTCTTATCAACCGGTACGAAATTGATATTTTCATCTATCCAGGATATGGCCTCATTAGACCTATTAACACTAGCTAAATCTGGCCAAAAAATGTAACTTAAGTACCTTGATGATACTCATCGATGTTCTAATGGTAAGGCTTTCTTCTAAGCATTCTTTGATATAAATGCTTTATTTTTTTGCAGCCGATGTTGTTAACCGAAAGAATGCTTTCGACATTCCACGCTCAGATAGTGCTATCCAAACAAGTAATTTTTTTTTCAAAAAATTTCCTTAAATTTTTATTTGCTTAAAGCTGAACATAATTTGGAAGCTGGTATAATGACGAAATAAAACTAGGTAACCCTCCCTGACATATGGGTCAATTAAGATTAAATACTAAAAAGGGATATTTTACAGCACTCATTTAAAAGTTTATTTTTTAAATCGACACACTAAATTAGAAAAGTACTTATTAAACATTCTCTTGTGTCAACAGCAAGTAAAAAATTGCAACTACCTTTCAGACAAAATAAATGAGACCGCGTATGCAAAACTTTTGTTCGTATTTTTACAATTTTTGGCGAGTCATGCAATGACTTTTTTGTATTTCATGAAACTTATTGTTTGATTTATCAGGTGCATATATATTCATCTAAAAATCTATGTGTTAATTATTATTTCTGATTTACCTAAAAATAATAATTTTAAAAATGAAGTTGTTAGCGTTGACACTTGACTATCTTTTTAAAGTGGTTCATAAAGACATTAAGTCTTTGACAAAATTAACTTGGATATCTAAGGCAACAGTTGCAAGATGTTTAAAGAAAATGAGGAGAGGAATGACCTTGGAGAGAAAGAACTTTATTTAATGGACCAACAACAATTGATTCAATTAGCTCAAAACGATTATACACGATCCGCCCGAGATATTCAAACTGAATTAATCATAAAAGGTAGTCCGAAGGTTGCTTCGAGAACCATTACTTGTTATCTTAGCCGTACTGGGTACTTCAGTTTTTTTTCCCTAAAATCAACCCCTAATGACTCCTGTTCAATAAGAAAATAGGGTAAAATAATGTAAAAAACACTTAAGAAAAAGAATCAATGGGTCTTTTGTGATGAGAGTCGTTTTGAGTTATTTTGAGCTTGTGAAGGTTAATGGCAAAGAAACATCCGAGAAATGGCAAACCAAAGTTCAAACAGAGTCTCATGGCTTAGGGGACGATTCGTTCCAAAGGTAATTTTTATTCCAAAGGTACATTGCTTATTATCAAGGGCACTGTGAATAATGAAAAGTACAAAGAAATACTTTCTGAAGCTAAGCCAATTCTAAGCCGTCGTGTTCAAAAATAGAAGTTTAAGATAAAGATTAAGCTTTACTCTTTATTTTCTATTGAGCAATTTTATTATTCATTTGTTATTTTGAAAATAAACCTTAAAAAACTCATTTATTTTGTCCGGGAGGTATAAGGTAATCATACATCGTCTTAATAATGAACTATTACGAAAGTGAGGAAAACTATTCGGAAGCAAAAAAAAACAGTAACTAAGAAGAATTTCTTAAAATCTTATATTAATCAAGAAAACACAACAATAAAAGGGAACTCTTTATTGTTTACTTTTAAAGAAAAAAAAATATTCAAAGTTTTGCATTAAAGAACAATCAGTGCTGAAACGTCGAGAGCATATTTGAGCACCATATTAGTGTCTCAATATAATATAAAGAAACACTGCAACAATGAAATATGTTTTTTTTGTTCAGATTTACAAACCAGCATAACATGAAAATGGAAGAGAGTTCTAATAAAGCGAATAAGAGATTTTTAAAGGTAAAGAATGGAATCAGAAATAATAAAATGGCAAGCACGATAAAGAGAAGAACCTTAAAAGATGTTAACTTAGATGTTAACGGTTTCTATGAGAGGTCAGTAGTGAACGATGATTCAAGCAGATGCGAAGAAGAGAACTCAGTGAGAGGGTAACCATTCGTCAATATAGAAAGACACTGCAAGCCCCAACCTAATACAGAAGTGAGATCAGATTCAATATTGGCTGCCTGTTCTAACCAATCGAAGATCTTTGAGTTACCCAAAAGTTACTAGAAATGAAGAATGTTGAGGATGACTTTAATAAAGCGGTATGAAATGTTCCGAGATTTTTATATGTGTTTGCGGTTAAAAGATAAAACCTTGTGGTAGGAAAAAGAAGAGTGCTGTCTATCTAGGATAACTTTAATGCTAAAAATGGAGAGGAAAGATTTTCATAACTTTTGTTAATACGCAATGCAAAGGTTTTATGAATACTTGGAGCCAGAACTTTTGTACCTTTTTTTTTAAAGATTTAGAAAAAGCAGTTAGTTATTAAAGTTACCAAAACTTACTAGAAAATCAGCAGTAATAAACTAAGCAATAAAAAATCTGCAGTATCAAAAATCAGCAGTAAAACCTTAAGACCGGAAACAATATTGACCGTTAGAAAGTAAGTTATTGAATTGCGTTATAAATGCAATAGATAATAACTTTTTTTTTCTAGTAACTCACAACTTAGACCTGTTTGTTTGCAGCTTATTAGGAGCGAATTAGAGAGTGAAAAAATATATAGCAGCTTAGCAAAAAGTAATGACATGAACAAAAATACCATCATAAATAAATAATACTATAAAATAATGAAAATAATTATACAATTTACAAACATTAGAAAAAAGAATAAATAAACAACCACAAATAAATAATTTATAAAAAATTTATGTATTTTTATCAAAATAAAAAATAAGAATTTTTGATCAAAACTTACTATCAAATAATGCTGCATTTCTTCGCTATGGAGACATAAAAACATTTTTTGAATTCAACTTAACTCTTAGTTTATGATTCAATAGTTAAACATCGGATTTCGAGGTTCAACTATCAAAATCATTTCTAACATTTGAGAAAGTCATACTGTTGTGAAAGTTAGTGAGTTAAGATAGCTAAGATCCTTAAAATAGAGAACATTTAA